ACGCAAACTTGTTTCAAAATTCAATTTCATTCGGATGATGTGGTATTGTATGGTTTATTGTTGATGGTTTTGTTCTGATGACAGGGATTTAGATGTGTTTCCTACTTGACATGCTTGAATTCTTAGCCTACATGGTCTGAAGCTATACGGGAGACGAACATTTGGAACAATGAATTCAAATGGAACATGGCTCCTCTTTTGAGGAATGGGCGTTGCAACCAGCTCTTGATGCGTAACAGTGATGGAATTTCACACTGCATTGCATTTACCCTTGGTAATTAGATCACCATTATCTTTGAGATTCTTGTCAAACTATCTTAAACATATGTTTTTCAATATGGCCATAATGTATTCTTTGATCTTTGCCTTGGATACTAATACCGGTTGTAAACGAACCGTGAAATTGCCTCTGTCTTGGCCATGTCCTCACTGAGGAAGCCTTGTTGATTTGTATTCCCAAAATACTGATGACTTGTTCTCAAAACTAACACTGCTTGCTGTTATTAATAGGATGCGATGTTATTGCTGAGTCTGAGCGACTTCTAAGCGGAAGCCTCTTAATCACTGCCCGGGGTACTTCTATCTCAAGGGGTGCCATGTAGGTGAATTCGCACAAAGAGGCAGAAGGTGGTTTCGGGAACATCACACTGAGCTTGTTAGTCGGAGGAGTCGTACTCAGCCTTCCTTTCTGCAGCTTCCTTGGTTCTGCGACACAGTAACTCAATTTATTGCATACAACAGGTTTAAATTTGACAATGACTTGATAACTGTAATTCTTTTTCTCACAGATGCAAAAGCCATTTTAACCATACCAAACAACTCTGCTTCAGACGATGGAGTGACAGCATCCTGGGAAGGAAAAAGGAGTGGGGAATACATCCTTGAAGTAAATTGTTTTCATACGTGGAACCATATTCGGTTGATAGAATCCTCCAACTTGTTTCAAATTTCTTTGTTGTAACTTATGATACTTTTAAACAGAAAATGATTAAAGACCGGTTTCCGTTAGCGTTCAAATATCTTGATTTTATTTATCGTGAATCTGCACTTCTTCACTTGTGAAAGAAACTTCAAATCTAACACATATTGCACCTTTTATCCTGAATGGTGATTCAAACTTTGTCTTTGTCGCCACTTGAAAGTCTTAGATTCTTGAGAACAAAGAAGGTGTCAAAACTCCTTGTGTTAAATCCTTTGAGTTTGGTGCTACTCATGATGGACGGGACTTTAGGAAACTTGAGTAAATCAAGTAGCTCGATCTTGGATGACTGAAAGTAGTTAAAGAACTTGGATCAAAAAAACAGAATTGGGACCTTGATGTGGATAGCTATGAGATGAGTAAAAAACCGCATAGGGAAAGGGGTGAATGATGAACTCCGAGCCATTTGAATGTTCTTAAATTGAAGAAACCAAAGGTTTTACGTCTTTGCTTGTTTTCAACTTACTCACAGAGGCAATCACCTTCCATTGGTGAGATTTAGTCCATAGTTTACTCAATGCAGAAAAACTTCAATTTAAATAGAAATCCGAGCAATATTCTAGATGATGTTGATCTTAGCATAAAACTACCCCCTGAGTAATGTCCAGACCAAAGGGCATAACTTGAAAGGTAACTTAGCAATGACACCCTTAATGAGAGGAAACTCAAACTCTAAGTCTTTGATTGGGACAAATAGCATGACCTCCACTTGAAACCCACGCATCTGCAAAAAACTGATTAATCACAATAAACATACACAGAAGACCTGCCACGAAGATAGAAGGAAAAAAGCAAAGGGGGCGAGATCTTAGGGTCAAAAATTAGGGTGCGACAATAGTATGTTTCAACATTCTATTCCACTACCATTCCACTACCCTGATTTGGTGGTACAAAAGACAACTTTTGTGTACTATTTTCATCTCCGCATAACAACATTATTTCAAGTCGCTAGCTATCTAAAGGATATTCCTAATCTTCCCTCCAACGAATCTTTTTCTTTCTATATAAGGACTTGATGACTTGAAGAAAATAGAACATGATACAACGATATATACAACAATTCAACAACGATTGAAAAAGAATGAATGACAAGAATTGATGATCTATGAAGAACTGAAGCAACAATACTGAAATACCACAATACAAAGAAAGAACATTGTTCGTACTGTGAAAGTTTCTTTAAGTCCTTTAAGCTTCTAATAGTGTTTAAATCTTCTAGAGTAGAAGCAATTCGTTGTAAACATTTTTGTTCAAACAGTTGTTTGTAACTCCTTAAGGGACCAGTTAGGTCAAAATCCTTAAGAAGAGACAGTTAGTCTTTGTTGTTAGTCACCAACGGTTGCTAGTGCAGATTGTGGTTCCTTAAGGGACCAGTTAGGTCAGAATCCTTAAGAAGAGACAGTTAGTCTGTGTTGTTAGTCAACAACAGTTGCTAGTGCAGTGTAATTAGTTGATTATAGTTGATTAAGTTCATGTGTATAAAGAGAAATCACCTGGGCGAGTGGACTGGATTATCTTGATAGTTTTCAAGTGAACCAGGATATATCGTGTGTCTTTCTCTCTTGTTAGTCTATTTGTGATCTTTGTTTGAGTTTCACAAAAAAAACTTTCATTTTTGAAAACCCAATTGAAACCCCCTTTATTGTGTTTTCTCATACCTTCAAATCATTCAAATAGAGGTGAGTCCCTCGATTGAGGGTGAGTCCCTTAGTTAGAAGGGAATCTCTTGGATAAGGTTGAGTCCCTAAATTAGGAGTGCATCCTGGGGCGCTTGGTACACCTCCAGGTGTCACATGAGTGTTATGCTATTAGTCAGTCAATTTTAGAGACGTCAAAACGTCAGTCAGTTATGAGAACTTAATCGTTTAATGGGAAAGAAACACGTGTGGCATTTAATGCTACTCATGATGCCTTTCCTGGGGAAACTCAATCATGTTTTTCCCATTGGATTGTCCTTGACGTGTGAAACCTTTCCCTATTCTTCCAAATGTTGCACTGCCATGCAAGTATGTTGCTTGTGTTTTTGGTTTTTTCTTATAAATACCATTAATTTGTTTTTTTAGAAAAAACCTTTCAATCTCCTTCTTGTTTTAGAAATTTATTGTTGACGAGAGGAGTCTCACAGATGCATGAGTGCTTTTTTGATCTTTAAGATCGAATAAGTAAGGAAAATTTCACGGAGCAAAATAACCTTCTAGGGATCCTGATGGAGGTTTTATAAATTCTTCTACTTTTATTCATAACCGGTGGCCAGGAAGAATGACAAACATGTTCATGCTTGAGATATTGTATATTTATATTCTAACTCGGATAGGATCGCAGGTTGTCGTCAGAGTATTAGGTTCGTAAGTACAGGTCATAAAGAGGATGTGATCTTAGTATTGTACCCTAAGTTTTACCCTTAGATTCCTTGATCTCTTTACATATCATCTAGGTCAATCATCCATGCATAGCTAACCGTTTTATCTAGTTTTGTTTGTTTTGTAGGTTTGCTAAAAAAATTTAGAAAGTCATGAAGACCCTGTGTGTATGCCCATTAAGAGCCTATTTCTTTTACCAGTTGTGCTGAACTACTGTAGAAGCATATACCCTCATTCTTTTGGTCTTGTAGTCAACACGAGGTTGACTATCCCAAATTTCTCAGAGGTTCCCCATAAGGAGGATTATTTTCTTTCGTCCATTAATGTGAAGTATTAAATGTGTTGGCAAAATTGTGTGCTTGGCTTCCTAAGAAGAAATTCAAAGATGTATTTGAATTGGTCACTACTATCTCTACAAAGTTCAAGATTAATATGATGCTTTTCTTGTTCAAGTCCATGAATTTTTAGCGAATAGTGAGTCCTATCATGAAACTGCGAAGTCTACATTTGAAATCCCAAAACTTTAAATCATGGTCATTCCCATCTGTGTGGTTTGTATCATAATCATTTTAAAGTCCAAGAAGTTTGAGATAGTGCAAGATTGGAGGTTTATTTACCAATTCGTTTCTCCAAGACTCAAGTGTAATTCAAGAAGGGGATTGTCAATACCCACGAAGATCAATCATTATTTGTTTCCCGTGGATTTTAAGAAGTTTGGATTTATTGGTTATTTGTGAGAAGGACATTTGAAAGTATTGATTTTTTTATGTCATCATGAGGAATTCACCAAGGTACGTTCTTCACAAAATCCAAATTCAAAATTAATACATTTATTCAAAGATTCAAGATTTCTTTACAAACTCAAGTAGATCCCAAAGTCCAAAACCAAAATTTGCAAGAGTGGGATTCATAAAAGTTTTACATAGATTTCCAAGATTTATAAGCTATGTAAGTTCAAAAGATCAATGTCTAAGCATGGAGATTAATTTTAGTCCTCTCTTCTTTCCTTTGACCCAAGTTTCATTTGTTATTCATTAGTGTTCAAATAAAAGTTTTTACAAGAGGTATTAAGCTTAATTTAACTCCCAAAATCTCAAGGATTGCTAGTTTAGTTAAGAAAATTCAAAGTTATGTATTAAAATTTGAAGAATTATAAGATCATTTCAACAAATACAAACCAATTTCAAGATGGTTTTTCTCCATGATGAAAATTACAAGAATTCAAGCATCATCCCAAGATTTAGACCCCAAAATTTGTGAAGGATCAAATTTTAAAAATACACAAAGGTGCATAACAATCCATCATAAGGCCAAATTGGAATTTAAAACATTTTCATTCATAATCCTCAATTCAAGAAGGTGCTATAAAGAAAAGCACCATCTATTCTAATACAAGAATACGCTACCACAAAGGTTTTTCAAAGATACAAGATGCCCAAAAAAGATTCTATTACAAAGTCATCGTAAGAATTCAAACGTCGAAAATCGCTAGCCCATAAAAGTGCAAGTTTATCAAAATATTTGTTGTACTAAATTATAACATGTATTAAAAACACGCAAAGTGAATCTAGCATTGGAGGACGATGAATGTTTCAAGTTACAGCAAAAAATCTATCTCAAGGAGTTTCGTCTATACATGGCCATAACAAGCAATCTTTTGTCTAGAAAACAGCAAGTGTTGCTACTAGTTTAACAAAGTTGGACTGAATGAGAGCCCACGGTTGTTGTCCAAAGCCTTTGTCGATAACGTGAAGCTTCCCAAAGCCTTTTTTCTTGCCCTCTCGATACTGCTATGAAAACAAAAGCACATTGAATGTTGATGTAGCTTAACAGGAGCAAGACACGTCGAAAACAAGAAAACCCTACCCAAAGAAATATGTGACGACACATTGACTGACTGCGACGCACTTCTTTCAAAATCCTCATGCTACCGACTGATTTCATCATTAGAGAAATATACATAATATCAAGGAAGTTATTAAGATAATCAATATGATAATTTCTTCGAATACAGCGAATCAACACAAATGTAAACATAATCCCGACATGTTCGAACGAAAGGGGAAAGTGTTCGAATCATTATTAAAAGTCTGCAACATAATTTGACATAACAGGCCCATCCAAGAAACACACAAACAAATATCATTAAAGATATCAAGTTTTTTAAAACGAAATCAAGTGATTATAACAACTTTCCCAAACAATACCCAACATGTTTTATTTAAAATAAAAATCACATTCAAGATGTTTGGATGCTGATTCAATCCAAAAGCTTATAAATAGCAGAATACATAGAACAATAGAAGAGGAAGCAATACCGCATAACTAGATAAATAGAAAAGCAGCAGGATCACAGAAACCCCATATCACACCATAAAATTACAACCCACACATAAGAGAAAATTTGGAAAAAAGAGACGGTAACATACACACCAAACACAAACAACCAGAGTTCATAACAAAAATCAACAACAATGGCAAAAGAAGGAAGAAATTGAAGGGACTTATCTTCGGTTCTGCCGACATCGTCACCGCTTGCATCAAAATCTTCAGAGGTTCACCAAGAAATAGCCTCAGATTCGCCCTATTTCTAAATTTCGTATGATGTTGGAATTGACGTATCATCACCGCCCGTCCACAGTATAGCCGCTAAGCATCAATTGTTGATTCATTTGCACCTCCGCGAACCCCCCGAGCCACACGCGAGTTCAGGTAACACCTTTTTCGTCATGTTTGTTTTGTTTTTGATTGATGTTTGTTTGGTTTTAACAAGGGAATAAGTGAAACGGAGACGAGAAAGGAGAAGGAGGAATGGTTAGCGGCGTATGAAGGAAGAAGGAGAAATAAAAAAAAGGGAGAAAGGAAGAAGATAGGAGAAAGAATGAAGAAGAAGAGAGGAGAAAGAATGAAGGAGAAAACGAGGGCGGAAGAAGAGAGAGTGGGAGCGACCGTTTGCAAGCTGAGATTTAGGGTTCCAATTGTGAATTTTTGGTTTTAAGGCAAACCGGGTCGGTTGACCCGACCCCTCTGTTCCCGGCCCAATTTTTTTTCTTTTTACTTTATTTTTCTATTTTTTTAACACTTCGGCTTGGCCCAAGTTCATCAAATCTTTTGTTTTTTTAACAAATAATAATAATAATAATAATAATAATAATAATAATAATAATAATAATAATAATAATAATAATAATAATAATAATAATAAACAAACAAAAATAAAAAGTTTAATTGATTTCAAATCATTTAACTTAAGGTTAACTAGAAATTAATGTTATTTAAGTAGATTAAGTTTTGGTTTAAATTTTATAATTAAATTTTTGTTTCAAGAAAAAAAAACAATTATATTTTATAATTTGAATAGTTTATGGTATATAATTAGGTTAATTCAAGAGTTAATTAGTTTTTCTTTATTCGAGAGAAATTCTAAAAATTCAAATTTAGTTATATTCCTAATTAATCTTAAAACAAAAATAATAATTTCTAATTTAGGATTTATTTAATTTTATGAGGTTTAGAATTTAGTTATTCTGATTATATAACTTCTCTTTATCTTTTATTTGGTTAATTCAGATTTTTATTTAATTTTGTTAAGTTGATTAATGCTAAGTATTTTGTTTGAATTCTAAAATTGATCTTGGTATTCTTTGTTGTTATTAACTCTGAATAATTTTGATTTCATATTATCCGTTGTGCCCTGTTTTAATTGATACTTGGGGTCAATTAATTGATTATATCTATCCATCGTGATTGATTACATCACTTGATTCTTTTGTTGCACATTATGCTATTATTGGTTCATATTTATGCTTTTAATTCTATTGATCGTGTTCATCCCATTTCCAAAGGGAAGAAGAATTTTCCTATTGACTGCCATGTCAATTTCATAACGTTTCTAATCCTTTTCCTTATCCTAGCCTTAGGATAGGAGTCGCCGTACTCCATGCAAACGTCCTGTCATGGACACCCAATTACCCTTATTCCTGGCCTTAGGATCAGGAGTCGACGTACTCCATGTAAGTTCCCGCCGTGGATACTTACCTAGTCTTTTTCAACTTAACATTAACGTAGATACGGAGTTGCCGCACTCCATGTAAGTATTTCACTATGAACACTTACTTCCCCCTAGAACCTTGACCACAATCAAGAAGTTCCTCACCCTCTTTAAGGGGAACTGCGAATACTCTGATTCCATTCCCGTCAGGATACGTAGGCACAAGATGCGATTTCTTGGCGAGTATACTTAGGACTAACCCCTTAAGTCTCCCTTCAACTCTTTACCATACCTTAAACAGATAGATTAGAAAACAACACAACATTTAAACAAGAGGTTCCTGTAGAGTATTACAGATGCTTAGGAGGCTAACGCCTTCCCTAGGTATAACCAACCCCCGAACCCTAGATCTCCCCGCATTGTGTTTACGATGCAAATTAGGTTTTTCTTTCTTTAACTTTTCCTTCGGATAAATCAAAGATCGGTTGTGAATTCAAGATTTGTGATTCAAATTAATCAATAATTTGACATCCTATTCTCACCGCAATAGAAAATGGCGACTTCACTGGGGAGCACTTTTGCTTTCGAGGGTTACCCCTAAATTGTTTGATTTGTGTTATTTGTTGAATATCTGTTTGTATATATATATATATATATATATATATATATATATATATATATATATATATATATATATATATATATATATATATATATATATATATATATATATATATATATATATATATATATATATATATATATATATATATATATATATATATATATATATATATATATATATATATATATATATATATATATATATATATATATATATATATATATATATATATATATATATATATATATATATATATATATATATATATATATATATATATATATATATATATATATATATATATATATATATATATATATATATATATATATATATATATATATATATATATATATATATATATATATATATATATATATATATGGCTATACCTGTTAGGGTTATATGTTGTTGTGAGATAAGTCCTACACCCGGACTTGAGCGTACTTATGATAGGAAGGTGATATATTCGACGAGGCTTATAGGGAGTGATTCCCTACCAAGATGACTTGAGAATCGCCGCCCAGTTGAGGCCCTCTCAAGAATAGTGTTGTTGAACGAGTATTCGTTAAGACATCACTCCTATCGACCTAGGGGCCTGTGATACTGGGAACCTTTAGTTACCTTTTTACCCCACTTTGGCTTTCTTAGGACGTAGTGCGATGACTATGAGGGAATATTCCCAAAATAGTTGATACGCAATGCTACACTCAAAAGAGGTTCTCTTGAGAATATTGTTAACCACCGAGTATTCAGGAAATTGATAATATCCGAAAGATGGATTGATGACTTTGGGCACCTCTTAGAACCCTTGTTCTGCAGGTACAATTAACCCTTAATACATACCTTTCGGGATGGGTAGACCATGGCTCCATGCTTATGACCCTCTAACCTAAGACTTTGTTTGTTTATCTATATATGTGTGTTTATGCATCTTTCCATTCAAGCATTCATAACATTTCGGTTTCAAGGAATTCAATTGTCAGTCCTTTTCAAATCCAATAAAATTTAAAAATCTAAACTTTTTCAGCCATTCCAAAAAAGCCTTTACAACTTGTTTTTGGATTCCTTGAAATCATTACATCGCATTGCATTCATGTTTTTGCATGTGCATTTCCCTTCCGTTCTCCCGTCTCCAGTTCTTTCACCCTGAGTCCTCTGCATCAGTACAACATTAGAGCTCGAGCTCGCAAAAAGATGGCGGAACAAAATCAAGAACTTGATCGTGTCAGCAATGAATTAGAAGACCTTCGGGGAAGTGTGGGGCAGATTATGGAGATGCTACAGGTTATACGTGCGAGGATGGATACTCAACCCACTGTTGTTTCTGAGATTGCCAGTGTTGTTATGGACCCTCAACCATCGACAATTGTACCTCCATATGGTCTTCCACTGGGTTTTGTCCCGACACCTACTGCAGTTCCTATTGCTCAATAAGTTCAACAAGTTGTTCCTTTGGTTACTGAAACTCTTCAGGTGATTCCAACTTTTGCACCAGCTGTTGTTCATACTCATGTGCAACCATACATCAATGACCATCAACCGATATATGATGTCCCTGATATGAAGGAAGATAAGGATGAACGTCGTGAGAAACTCAGGGAAAATATGGAAATTATCGATAAGAGGTTGAGAATGATGGAAGGAGATCAAATCTTTGGTGCTGCTGCCAGAGAAGTGTGTCTTATATCTAGTCTGGTTATCCCTCCAAAGTTCAAAAATCCTAGCTTTGATCATTATGAAGGAGCTACATGTCCAAAAAGTCATCTGATCATGTACTATTGAAAAATGGCCGCTCATGTTGATAATGATAAGCTGATGATTCATTGTTTCCAAGACATTTTGAAGGGTACTTCGCCAAAATGGTACTTAAGTCTGGATCAGTCTCGCATTAAGAGTATCCAAGATCTATCTGATGCCTTTATCAAACATTACAAATACAATATGGATTTGGCTCCTGACCGAAGGCAATTACTGAGTATGTCCCAGAAGAGTTCTGAATCATTCAAGGAATACGCTCAGAGATGGAGAGAAATTACTTCACAAGTGGAACCTCCTTTGACTGAAAAAGAACTAGCTGATTGGTTCGTCGACACTGTTTGTCCCGAGTTCTATGAAAGAATGGTTGATAGTGTGACTGCAAACTTCTCAAATATTGTTGTTGTTGGTGTGAAGGTAGAATTGGGTCTGAAAAGTGGGAAGATGTCAAGTACTGCTGGTAGTTCAAGCTCCATGCCAAGAAGCCTTCGTTTAGTTCTCACAAGAAAAAAGAGGGTGAAACTAATGCAGTGATATCAGGCAGAAGAAGAAATCAACCTTGACAATATCAGCAAAATTATGTTCAAC